TTTATAGTAAGCTAAGATAGCTTAACTAGCTAGAAAGTACTCTATATATTACTACTAGTCGTTACTAACGCTAAATCTATAAAAGGAGCGATTTAACGTAAGGGGGTAAAGCTAAGCCTAAAATAACTTCGATAATCTATTTAAGCTATATATATAATAGTAGACCTAATAATACTCTAAGGGCATTATATCGCTATTATAAAACGCTTAGTAAAATGCCTTCATTATTAAGATTTTCGTCTGCCTTTTAACTAGCTAATACTATAATTACTTATCTAAAAGACGTCTCTTATTTATAAATTCGCGATTTAGCTCTTAAAGTAATACTATTACTTTTAATAATATTATTACTATAGCTAGTCCTTAACGCGTAGAGTTAATTATAGAGCTCGTTATACCTAAATTACTTAATGCTATAAATTAAGGCCTAATAGTTAATAAGATCAGGCGCGTTATATTAGCTATTCGACTAGATTAGCTAAAGGCTTATAGCTATTATACTCCTATATTATTACTATTATCGGCATTAATTTATTATCTCTTAGCTCGTCTAGTATCACTTATATTTTCCTTTATTATTAATTCGCTATTAGAAGTAAAAGTATTAATTACTATAAGCTATAGCTCTCTTAACTGCTATAAGGAAATTAGCTCTTAGCCTTAACGCTAGCGACCTTAATGTTATACGATAAGAGGTATTAAATGAACTATAATATAATCCTATATAACTTCTATTAAAGAAGTTTTTATCTTATCGAACGATATTAATTCTTTATTAAATTTAATATATATTCTTAGTTTTATATATTACCTTTTATTTACTACTCTATCTACTATTATATAGTCTAACCTAGATATCTTATAAGATAGACTATAATAACTATAATACTGAATTATAGTCTTATTACTATTAAGTCGATATTAATATTAACTATACTATCGCTAATAGTAGAATATCTCTAGGTAACGATAATTATAATCGTAAATAGCTCGAACCTCTACGATCTCGATCTCGCTATAATCGCGCGCTTAACTTCTATATCTACGATATTATATATATAAACCGAGATAAATATAATAATTAAGTTAACTTTATTAAGGCTAGACTTAATAGTAATATAGTTTATTATACTATAATATAATGCTAATTAGTCTTATCTTTATTATTATAAGTAAAGTCTTTAATACGAGACTAAAATTCCTTACTGGTTTTTACTTTAAAATAAATAATAAGCTAGATATTATAACTTAATTTAATATAAGGCCGGTAGATAGCTTTTTTTAAGCTATTAGCTAATCGCTAACGTCTAGATATATAGTAATCTTTTATATTATAAACCTACTTAAAGAAATATCCCTATTTCTATATTATATTACTAAAGATATAGAAATTAATAATAATGACTTTCTCCTAGCTATATATTATACGTCCGATTAACTACTAATATTAAGTCTATATAATATTAATAGATTTAAAGGTTACGACTAGATTATAATCGTACGATACTTAAGGTAGGCTATACTCTATAGAATCGTGCGGTTTAACTATAAAGCTATATAGATATACCTCTATTTCCGGTAAGCTTAAGAAACTATACTTTCCTGCTACTAATAATATTAAGCCTATTAATCGCTTATATATTCTTAAAAGACTTTATTTATACCTTTTTGCCTATTATTATTATAGCTAACGCTTTATTTAATCCCTCTTAATACCTTAATAGCTAGCGCGGTACTAAAGGAGAAATAGTAATATCTAGCTTTTTTTAACCTCTAAAATGCCTAACTATATACTTTATAACCTATTAGTACTAAATTAAATACCTTAACGCTAAAACGATTATTAGGCTTATAGTTTAGGAGCCTATATAGATATAAAGTATACTATACTATCGCTTAAGTATAAAGAGTAATAATACCTCTACTGAGATTCTATTAAGTCTTAATATTAATCTCTTTAATAAGAAAGTTATACCCTTAAAGTAATAAGAGGAGTAATTCTATATAAATAGCTAACTTTATCCTTTTATTATTACGTAATATATAAACGATAATAATAATCCTTTAGGGAAGTTTAGTAAGCTATTAGAGATAAAGATCCTTAATATAATAGTTCGAAAGTATAGATTCTAGCTATAAGTTAATTAGCCTTTCCCCTTAGGATCTATTTAACGCTTACTAATAACTTTAAAGTATTAACTTATAAGTAATAGAATCTATACCTTCGATTAGCCTTAAACCGACTATCGCTTTTACCGGCCTTATTATAGGCTTTAGTAGCTAGATACTTAAAACGACCCTTACTATTAGTTTCTCCGAGGAGTAATATCGATATTATAGATATATTTAGCTTACTATATTCTTATAGCTTAGTAACCTAGATAAACCGCTTATATATAGCTACTATCTATTCTATATCTTTATTATCTAGCTAGTATACGCTAAACCCTAAAATAGCTTATATAAGAAGTATATTAAATAGCTAGGCTTACCCTTCTAGCCTAGCGTATAGTTCTCTTACCTTATAGGAAAGGTAGTTAGGACTTTCGATTATACCTTATTAAAGTTTCTACTGCTTAACTAATATAACTATATCCTAATCGTAGTCCTAGAAAGTTAAACCTTTATCGATAAAGGCTAAATTAATTAGATATAGGGATATATCCTATCTACTAGCTCTCGCTAGCCTTAGACGCCCTATACTAAGACCTCTTTTAGCGATACTTAGAAGTAGTTTATATCGCCTTATAGAAATATAGGCATAGCGCTATAGGACGTTAATATTACGCCCGTTATATAAGCTATAACTTCTATAGAATAGATACTTAAGAGCTATTTCTCGAGCCCGTTAGAAAGTAAGGAAAGTAAGGAAGATAATACGCTATTATAGGTAGTTAATACGTTAATATAGGTAAGGCGAGCCGCTCTATCTACTCTTAAGTAGATAGCTATAAAGAAGGTTTATATAAGCCTAAGCATAAGAGCCGCGTCGCTAACTATTATTATTAAGGTATTAAGTAATAACTAGGATATAGAAATAAGTATACTTTCTGCCGTATTAGGAGACCGTTAATCTATACGCTTAACTCGGTCGGAGTCTAGGAAGAAGAATTAGACGTAATATAGTACGATTAAGGGTTTATAGTATATTAATTTAAGGAGCTTTACTTTTATCGTAACCGTTATAACTTTCGTTCCTTAAGGCATTACGTAGCACGGCCGCGCTAAGACGTGCGCTCCCTTATAGTAATGGTGAAATTGCGGACTATGTAGCCCGTCCTCCTTCCGAAAGAGCCGACGTTCTCGATGATTGCAGGCCGGTTGACAAACATCCAGGCCCGGAATTTAGCCGCCAGATTTACCCGAGCGGGGGCCAAAGGACATTAAGCGAATTGTAGACGGTGCCCCTATTTTCACGTGATGATCGAGCAACGACTCTCGTAATAGAAGGGGCGCGGCCGCATTCGCATGGCCCTGTCCGAACTTGCTTCCACTCGTGTAAGCTTATACGTTTCTGACAAGTTTGTTGCGCCCCTCTGCCCATCCGTGAAATGGAAATCGTGGCCCAATTGCGGCTTGCCCGGAAATCATTCGGATTTGGGGAAGCCGCCCGGTGCGTCTCGGAGCACCACACTGTTAACCTTGTTGAGCTAGCCTTCCGAACCCGTGCAAGTGATATGCTCGTTCGCGAGAACCATACTTGATGCCGTCGTGTGTGTTCGTAAGCGTAAAGGCACTGGACAAGGTCCACCCCAAGACTGTCTTGATGGGCCTGAGGATGGCAATAAGTTGCTCTCTCACGTTATTTCGGTGGAACCGGGCAAACAAATTTGCAGTATATAAATGCCGAAAGGGCCCGTACAAACCCAGGTATAAGCGCCAGAAATACATCGTCAAGCAGCATTGTTCAAAAACATCTTTCATTACAGTAATCAAGACAGTATCGACGCTACTTACAATGAAGCTCCTTGGGTTACCAGCACTTGCTCTCTATGCCACATCTGTCTACGCAGCGGATTGCTTTGGGCAGGGACAGACCAGTCTCTTGAGCGACTATTTCGCAGACGCTTACTGGGATGCTCGCGGGAAAATGTGTGGGAATACCGACTGTGGCTATCAGAAAGATTGCACTACAACATCGACTAAGACAGTGAGCATGGGGCTTGGCGAGCCTGTTACCGTCAGGGTTTCCTTCAAGCGTCAGAAGTTGAACGGCAACGGGTTTAAAGATTGCTGGGTATGTTACTTGTCCTGCATAAAAGTGCATGCTAACAGCCGGATAGGATGCGACTGAGTGAGTTGCGTACAACGATTCGTGAACTTGCCGTCTAATGAGAATAGGAACATCATCAACCAATGTATTCTGGGGTCCCACCAGATGGATGGGACATGGGCAACTAATGGCCAGCTGTACCAGCTGTCATCGGAGTGGAACTAGGGGCATTTGCCGCGGGAGATACCGTCCAGATTGTAAGGTCCTGTGCCCCGGCGGGACTTGCGGCCCATAGATGCAAAATATACTATCATTACTTTCGCGCTCAGACGCACTGATAGTACATTCGATCCTGTCTGCGAACTTAGTCAAATTAGATAATGTCGCTAGAGCACGTACTAGCCTGCATTCTGAAGCTATTAAGCCCGGAAGTCCAGCTACAGGGTAGGCATACTAACCGTCCCTTCAAATGATATACCCGTTAAAAGTGATTAGGACACCGGACAATCTCTCCGATTAAAGGCTTTGCAGAGCAGTAAGGAGAGGAGATGAGCCGATGGATGCTTACGTTCGATTTCCTAAGTACGTCGCACGGCAACGGATAAGCGACCTAGCTCATCTAAAGGGAAGACAGCGGAAAGGGAAGTTTAAGTACACGGAGCGGGCAAACAATTGAGCCTACTCTTATAACCCTGCTGCCCGCCTATAGTAGGCAACGTAAACCAAGAGAATTATATCTTTGACAAACCATCCTTTCTAGTCGTCGTTACTATTGATAAACCGGCTATCACTCTTTCTTGACCTTCTTGCCCTTTGGCATCCGGATCACCCAGTACAGCAGAGTAGCTGCCGCGATATTAAATACGATGTATACCATCCCGATACCAAAATCGCGCCATCGGTTGCTGTAGCTGGCGTTGATCATGGTCAAGAAGTCATCGGTGGTCGCAATGGGGCAGTAGTTGCATTCGCTCGTGGCATCCTCGTTCAGCAAATACCCTCCGGCAATCTTGATGTATGGGCCGAGGAACTCCATGCATGTCGTGTCGTTGCCTGGTGGCTTCACACTGATGTACTCGTTGGCGGCGCAGACAACATCCGCATGGGCCAGACCGGTCGATAGAAGGGCGGAGATCCAGTACGTGATGGGGGACACACGATACATGAAGATCCAGAAGCCAGGTAGCGCGTCGGGACCGGCCAAAACACCACAGAAGGCCAAACAGAACATGAACAGGGTCTGAGCCAGACCACCGCCACCTTCCTCAGATCCCGCAATGACGATGCACAGGTTACCCATCGTGCAAGTGAAGATAAGGAATTGCCACATCAGGAGCCAAGCCAGTGCTCCTCGCTCGGGTCCCTCACCAGCGTCGGAGGCGATGTTGTTGTATCCAACCGGGTAGTAGAGGCATATGAACATGAAAACGGAAAGCAGCGAATTCCATGGGATTTCCACAAAAATCTGCGATAGCATGAACACCTTCCAGCTGTATGTTTTCGACGGCCTCTCGCGAGCTTCGTATAGGTCGCGCTGCACGACAAAGTAGGGCATCTGTTGCTGGACAAGCTGGTTGAAGACCGTGGCGACCATGAAGAAAGCGAACATTTGGTTCTGCAGCCCCTGTCGACTAAGAGGTGCCTGGAGGAAGACCAATCCGATGAATAAGGCAACACCGATGCCAAGCGCCATCTTGGCGTAAATATAGACCGGGGTGCGCCAGTATTGCTCAAATGCGCGCTTCGTCACAGTGTACATCTGCGTCAATAAGGGGGCCGCAAACTCGTCATACTCGGTCTCCTCTGTACCGTGGACAGCCTCCTGGCCGTCTCCGAGGGCTTTGAGACGCTCCAGCTCCTTTTGCACTTCGTTAAACTCGGGGCTGTTGCGCCAAACCTCGAACCAGTCGACGTCAGACACGGACCCAGGGGCAGCACCGATGGCTTCCAGCATCCATTCAGCAGGGTTTTCGCCTTCGGGGCACCTTGGTGCGCCGTAACGCTCAAAGTACGACTTCAGAGTCTCGGAGTTGTTGCCGATGTCCCCAAAGTATACCGTTTTGCCGCCCTTGGCCAAGAATAATAGTCGGTCGAAGCGCTGGAATAGCATAGCGGAAGGCTGATGTATTGTGCATAGCACTGACTGACCCGCTTTAGAAAGCTTTTCGAGGAGGTCGAGGATCGCCCACGATGTTTGGGAGTCAAGTCCGGACGTCGGCTCGTCAACGAAAAGCAGGAGAGGCGGCTTGGCCGCGAGCTCAACGCCGATGGTAAGCCGCTTGCGCTGTTCCACATTCAGGCCTTCACCGAGTCTTCCAACGATAGCATCGGCGTAGGATTCCATTTCGAGTAGCTTGATAACCTCGTCCACATAGGATATCTTTTCCGCGTAAGGGGTTGAGCGAGGCTGACGCAGCACGGCGCTGAACTCTAACGCTTCGCGTACAGTAGTCGTTTCGAGGTGGACATCTTGCTGCTGCACATATCCCGTCTTGCGTTGGAAGGATTCGTCGCGTAGCTTTCCGTCGACAAGCATTTCTCCAGTAATCACGCCGACCGAAGTGCGATCAGCCAAGCAGTCGAGAAGTGTGGTTTTACCAGCGCCAGACACGCCCATGAGGGCCGTTAGAGTACCGGGCTTAACCCAACCATCAACGTGATCGAGAATCCGCCGATCTTCCTTCTTGATCATGACGTTATAGCAGATGTTTCGCCAGTGAAAGACACTGGTGGAACCCTGGAAGCGTCTTTGATCAGTGACCTTGCTCTTGTGCTTTTCGAGCACAGCAACCGGTCCGGACGTCATAGCCTCGGGGTCATCTTTGCCTTTCGTAACAGCAGGGACGTGGCCACGTCGGAACACCAACACTTCTCCTTTGGACTTCTTGGCTGTAATCAGCTCAGTGGCAGCAAAGTAGACGAAATGATTGAAAATGGCGAAAGCGATGATGATGCCGACGTTTCGCCACTTGTGAGAAGCAAAGTAGCTATATTGCGAGCCGATGTACGCAGTCCCCTGGACAACACTTTCCCCAGCAACAGAGCCAACAGCAATGCAGGCACGGTTCTCCGAGGAAAGATTCTCGTACCCTTGGACCATGGGAGGGAGGAATGTGTTACAATCGAAGGTGCGGCCGTGAAATTCATTCACCATGAGAGATTCGAAGCCGTATGCGACGGGGTCGAGGTAGTTGATCCAGCGGCACCAGCCGAGCATGTCCTGAATAGGTACAACGAAGCCGGTGAAGATGATGAGCGAGAGCAGAATGAGAATACCAGGAACTAGAGCTTGGGCGAGCGATCGAGACAGTGAGGCACTGTGAATTTTGTCAGTTCACGATGCGCCGGCAAGAGGAGGAAGGAAATACTGACATTGATCGAATGAGGCCGGAGAGTGTCAACACCAGGAGAAAGTTGACGAAGAGATAGTAGAAGAACGGGCCTGGGCTTCGGTTCAGGTTTACCATGAAGTAAAATATGAGATTAAAGCCAATGCAATTGCCGATCTTATAGGGCATGTCCATAAGCACCGACGCCCATGCCTCTGCCGAAGCGTGGTAGAATCCGTATCGAGACTGCTTTTCGACGATCGGCCGCTGTGCGTATTGCGTTAAGACTTCAAGGAAACTGGAGAACGAGTTGATCACCACAGAGAAGAACAGCGCGGTACTTCTGGGGAAGAAGGATTCGGTTGTCTGTGGGAGATTGTAGAAAATAGACGACACGACCAGGGCCATGAGCATATTGGAGAAGATGGAGAAAACCGTAATCGAGGGATCGCCTTTGAGACGTTTCCAGCCACGCCAAAGACAGAGCATGATCTGCTGGCCATAAGACAAGATGAAGGCGGATTTGGCTCGCTGACTCCTGGCTTGAGCGGCGCGCTTGTGGTCACGGAAGGCCTGCGCGTCGGCACCATCGAACGGATGGGAGACCTTGTAAGATTCGATCTCATTCTGGAGCAGCTGATACTCGCGGCTTTCCTTCCAACGAGCAGCAAATTCGTCCGGGGTGCGAGGAACGCGATTCTCGAAACCGGGACGAATGACGCGTTCTAGAGGAGAGGTCAAGGACGTAAGGAAGTCCGGATCCGTTTGACTTATGGGGCATTCGAAGCCCATGTCGACAAAGAACTGCTTGGCACTTGCAGTTGGCCCGAAGTAGATCTGACGACCCTCGTACAAGACGGTGACCTTGTCGAAAAGGCTATAAGCGCCCTGAGAAGCTTGGTAAATAGATACGGCACAGGTCTGCCCAAAGAGATGAGATTGTTGACGGAGGGTCTTGCAGAATTCAAGCGCATTGGCCGAGTCTAGACCACGAGTCGAATTATCCCAGAACTGAAGCGGCGCATTTGCGAGGGTAGCCTCGGCGATAGAAACACGCTTTCTCTCTCCTCCTGACACACCGCGAACAAGGTCGTTTCCGACGCGCGTATTGACTGTATGACTGATGCCGTACATAGCCATAACAACATCTCGATAGTGATCGGCGAAGTCGTTTCGCGAGACGCCGCCCGGTAAGTCGCGAGGGAGTCGGGCGCGGGAGGCAAAGGTGAGTGTCTCGCCTACGGTGAGCTGCGGGAAGTGAACATCAAGCTCAGCGGTGTAGATGGCTTCGGCACTATGATTCGAGTGCATCTCTTTGGCGGTAATGCCATTGTAGTTGATGTACGAAGACTTATCAACATGAAGGCCGTTGGTCTCGCCGGCAATCGACTTGAGGAACGTGGAGCATCCAGACCCGGGCGGCCCAAGAACAACAAGCATCTCGCCTGAGTTGACAACACCATCGAAGTCCCTTAGGATGTCAATGCGATGCTGAGAATCGGAGCCGCGAAGGAGTCTTGTCGCAAGGTTGGGGATTTCGAGGAGAACATTAGCCACATCCTTCTGGTAGCCCGTGGCGCTGCCGTAACCATGCACGTTCATGTGCTGGAAAGCGAAACCGCTGCGACGGAACCCATTGCTGGTGCTCTCAGTCAGCTTCGCCAGGGTCTTTGCCCAAATCCTGGCGTTGAAGCAGTTTCCGTTGGGGTTGAGAGGCGACTCCGGGTCATCATGATGGAACAGCTTGGAGGGATTGTCTTGAACATCGATGCCTGACGTCTGTGTAAACTGGCGCGCCAGGTCCCGAACAGCTGAATGACGACGCTGGATTTCCAACTTGTCGTCACTGGCATGCTCGGAGCCAGGTGTCGAGTTGAACGCCGTCGCTTCGTCGGCCTTTGGGTTGAGAGTAGTCACCTCGCTCTCGGCAATAGCCGTCTTTTCGAAGCGCGCGTCAGACATTATTGCTGTTGGTGGCGCTGTTATCGGTGGCCGTTTGTGGCGTTGCGGCCAGGAGAGAAAGTCGCCGCACTCAAAGGGGCCCAGCACACATCGCAGGCACCACCGGGCCAGGTACAGTAACGTCCCAATTAACGAACGCGCGCGCCTTGGGCCCAAAAAGAGGTTAAAGGAGACGAAGAGAAGAAAACGGCAGGAGAGAGGGAAAGTGACGCCTAGGAGGACAGCGACATTGCAAAAGGAGCCGCAATCCTTCGGCATTGGGACCTGTCAGCTTACATATTTATCGCGCCTTTCCTTGACCGCGCGTAAACGACAGGAGGGAATTGATCTCGGAGCTAAGCCATAAAGAGTTCCGGCGCTGCGGGCATCCACAAGTCCGCTCCGCGGCTCTGCCCCGATCGAGGAGGTCTTGCCTTGGTAGGAGCGAGCAAAAGTCGCCGAATGATCCACACCTAAACAAGGATCAGAGCTGCTGATAGGAGGGAGCGACGAGGATGGGATAAATTTCCGCAGCAGTCCACGCCAAACCTCTGCATTTCGCGAGCCACCTGCGGCAGCCCGTGCGGGCCAAGACATCAGAGAGGGAGGGGCTTGCTCCGCAAACGCCGCGTAAGACTCAACGGAGACAAGAAGGCTCATAGTCCGTCATCCCGAGCTCGAATCGGAGAATCTGGAAGGGGCGGGATCACCACGACGATTTGTGGGCCACTAACAAAGTCCGCCGCACAAATCTCACCTCCCAGATCCCTGCAGCCCTGTGCGGCTTTCGCGCCAAAAAGAGCCGCATGTGCCGCTACCTTGCTGGCGAGGAGAAGGCAGTCGGGATTCGGGACCCACCCTGTCCGCGCTGGGAGGGCTTGGATTGCTGTCTGAGGACGTGGGTTAGTACGGTACCACCAAGCCAATGGCCAATGGCCAAACCGGTCCTGAAGGCTGACAGCACATCACATGTGAGCCCGAGTAACACCACGACAGCCCGCACGTTGCAGTCAACTCCCAGGGCAGAAATTCACCGCATTTACTTCCTATTATGCTACGGTCTTCGTCAAGCTGCACTCTGCCAACTGGAGGGGTTAAATCAGGATCGAGGCCGTGGGAATACCGTTCTACGTAGTACATAATAGTGACTGCCAAACTGTGCATTACATGACCTCCGTCCACGTCAAGGCAGATGATCGCCTTTTCGCGCCCATCCATTTCACTCTTACACTCAGTATATGTATCACAGCGTCATGATACCATTCGCAATTTTTGCGAGCACCACCACCACCGTTACCCTTTCAGCCGCCGTTGCAACCTCAAGAACGCGGGAGATTACTTGCAGCCCCCGCTACACGTTAGATGTACGTATAATTAGACCCTGACCCCAAGTGGCGGCACCTTCGCCCCCACGGACCACTGCGGTACGGGCAATGAACTGAAACAGACCCCATTTCTGCACATGAGTTGGCCGCACGCTTTATACCGAAAGTACACGCCGCCAACAGAGCCATCGGGGTTTTGTTTCAGCATCTGTGCCTACGAAGGGTGACTGGTGAACGTTGGTATCACTGCCGAGCATCCATGCAGGATGCCATAACTCCACTACCACGTCAAACTTGGCTCCCGCCACCTTCAAGTTCTACAAAACGTGCCACGCTATGTAACGACAGACACTACATGGCTGCGATTAGAGCCTCGATTTACAGGAACTATACTTGGTAATAATAATTTCAGGGCTTGTGTCGTGCCTTCTCGCATATCAGCCCCCAAGAACAATAGCCAATACAACGGAACCATCACGTACAACTGGTTCCATTGAAGATGCCCGGGCTTGGGGTCCGAAGTATTTGCATCTACTCATGACCCGGCCTCGCCAAGGTACCATGAGCAGATCATAGATATAAGAAGTTGGATTAGATCGTCGAGAGCGACGACGATCTGCTCGTATGCCACAGAGCTGTTGAAGCTCAAGCTTTCAAAATGCATCTACTATATTGCAAACTGCTTCTCGTTAGCAACATATTCTTGGGCTTTTACGGGCTGAGTGATGCCATTTTCATAAAGCCTGCACCGCAGTGTCCGGAAGGGCAGTACTGGTGTCAAGACCGCTGCGGGTCAGACCAGCTGGGACAAACTTGCTGCGGAACTCCCGATGGGCACCACAACCTCTGTGGTGCAGGTGCGACAAGAACCAGCATTCAACCGCGAAGATCGATAACGCTGACGCTCTCGTGTACAAGGAACTCTCTGTTGTCTCTATGGCTGTTGTCCAGATGACACGACATGCAACACTGTTGGGGCATGTGAGCGGGTTGTGACAACAACAGGGGGTAATGGCCAGCTGATTACCACAACGGAGACTGTTCCAGCCGCGGGTGGACCGCAACTGACACCGACAACACACCGAGGCCTGTCATCTGAAGCATCACATATACATACGGTACTCACTACAACTCCGTCGGATATCTACTCCACTGGTGCCACAACGCTAGGTTCCATGCCCACGGGGATTGCGCGGCCATCTGGTCCTGGAGAAGTTACAGACCCCCCAGGCCAGGGATCAAAGGCAATGACTGGTAGTGGTAGTGGCACAACAGAGACTTCCCATCCACCACGCCCGGGAGACCTTACTACTAACCAGGAAGTCCCCGGTGGAGGGTTGTCGACATCGACCACTACAGACCACGGCGCAGCGAGTAAGTCAATGACACCCGGAGTAGGAGACACGACAGCTGCCGGGTCTGAGCACACTGGGATGCATGCGACCAGCACTTCGCCAAGCACAAGATATTCACAGACAGCTGACCTGTACACCATCACGGAGGGTACTGGTTCTACGGTTATCATTGTTGGAACCGCCTCTGTGACGCTGCCTGATGTTTCTACTAACATCGTGTTGACTACACTGGGCCAGACCATCACGTTGCTGCTGTCACCGTCGGCGGGAACTGGCCCTACTGGCCGTTCTTCTGCAACTGCAACAACAGTCGGCGGATCCTCAACTACATCAACCAAGAGCCATGGTCCACCTACGAACACCGGGAATGACGTATCAACGGTCCAAAGCAGTATAAAGTCCGACACGAATAGAGCCAGGGCTAGCACCGGATTTGCAGTCACAAGCAATCCTCTGGGACTGACATCTGCGAAGCTTGACACAACTATCGGCACAACCAATACGCAAATCTTAACTTCGACGACAGACGTGCCCCTGACCACATTCACAACCTGGCCAGAGGTCACCGTCGTTCCTGTCACAACTTCTATTGGGGGCCCAAAGCCCACCGATCGCGGCGCAATCATCCCGTGCAACCTTTGGTTCTTCTCTGTGAGTAAATTTGGTGCTGCGAATCACCACAAAAACGGAACGAGCAGCCGTTGCGGATTGCTAACTGACGTAGATTTGTATATCGTGGGGAAATGTCCGCATTGGAGGCTGGGAGCTCCCTCTACCTCCTGGCCTCTATCCCCCGTATGATTTATCCCTGGCTTCTACGTCGCTATCGTGCACAAAGACACTATACCACAGCTGACGGGTGTTCGCAGAGGACCACCTCCGGCGCTCAAGTTTCCACCCGGAATCCGCGTGACTAGTTTACCGCCATGGCCACCTATCACGTACGTGAACATGGTGTCCAGTGCGCCGAGCGGCGGAAGCTAACTAATGGATCTACTCCTCCAGTATTGGTAACGACCATAAGCCGACATATTCGCCCAAGCCTACCTCATGTAAAACGGAGTCGGCAACAATCTGCGCCACTACGACACTGTTTAGAGTCTCGGTTTCAGACAACGCTACGGTCACGACCGCGAGCAAGGTTCTATCCACCTGCGATACTGCCTTTGGATGCAATATCAGAGATGAGGAAAGGACAACGACCACGGTAAGTCCATGTTATACAAAAACTGCAACTAATATCTGGATGACCTGCACGGCCGGCGCCGAGGGCTCGTGTAAGGTTACGAGCACCTCCTTTGTGACGGGTTGCGGTGTTACTCCGACAAACTTGTCCTGCAGCAAACCCAGCGGAACAGGAGTTGAAGCGCGAGCCGACAGTGATTCGTGCCAGGAGCCTCGAGAAACGTACGTGATATATCCCAAAGACGGCACAAATAAGGCGCAGGCGAGCATCATCGCCGCAAAACTGAAGGAATTCGCCGACGAGGTCACTATATATACGTCAGACACGAAAAGTATAGGTATAAACTTCTGGCTCATACCTCTATCGCATTCACAGGCTCGTGAAGCAGCGATAGTGTTGGCACCTGAGGTAAATTGTGCGCGATGCACTCAGAGAAGACACAGACGCTGACGCCAGCCACCCAGGTGGCAGCAGTCTATACGCAAGATCCGAAGAAGGACCCATACCCGCAAGAGCCCGTGAATCCAGAGACAGAGATTGCCTATCAATCAGAGGCCTGGCCTCATCTTATCTTCGTGTCTCAGCAAAAGAACCATATGCTCGATTCTTATCAGAAGCGCTACTATTTTGACGACTCAAGTTTACCAGGACAAGACATACCCGTGTACGTGTTGGACACTGGAGCGGAACTGGGACACGAAGTATGACAGCCTGGTTCGACTATTTACTGGAGTGGCCAGACAAACTACCAACTAACGCGCCGCAGGAGTTCACAGACACCATCAAAAGCAAGACACGGTGGCTACACGTCGGTCGAGATAGGGGTCTTCCAGCCGGCGCTTCAAACCCGGAAAATGAATCCGGTAAAGGTCACGGAACGTCAATGCTAAGTCTGATAACTGGAAAGACCGTTGGTGTTTGCAAGAGCGTCAGCCCCATTCTAATCAGGATGCCGCGCAGGAACTCTGCTGGCGGCGCAACGTTTGAGGACTACATTGAAGGCCTCAGCAAGGTTAACGACGACTTGCAAGGGACGAGTACCGAGACAAGAGCAATTTTGCTCATGTCTCTACATTTCCCGCGTTCGCAATTTGTGAGGAACAGGGTCGACTACTCTGCTGGGTTCTCCGGTCGCATGCAGCAGCTCCTGCAAGACCAAGTATCGAAGGGAGTTTTGCCAGTTACCGGGTCAGGAAATTACTTCATCGTACGCCGCGGGAAAACAAATACCCAGGCACGAAAGAAATACTGATTTTACACAGAGCAAGATAGACGGCTGGCCAGCTAATTTCGGTGCCAAGGGAGGGGCGGTGCCGGAGTTATTAGTTGTCGGCGGCATCGACTCGGTCACCTTCTTCAGGTACGGCGATTATGACCCGGTCAAGGGACTTCCGCATGTCTACGCGCCCGGGCACACTGTCAAAGCGGCAGACTGGAACAAGAACAATTGGGCATTTTCTCCACTTAAAGACACCAAAGGCACCTCGACATGTAAGCAGTTACCAAGCATCGAAACCGTTCATCTTCTGGCAAACTCACATTCTATCAGCTGCAGCGATCACCGCGGGTCTTGCGGCTTACTTCTTGAAACTAGCACAGGCGGGAAAGCTCTCAATTGACAGGTCCCCTCTTGGACTTAAAGCTTACATCACGTCAAACGATCTGGCATGGGCGAGAACTGGGCAGGACGGGGATCTGCTTTCAATCTGGAACGGTGCGATTCCTGCTCCACAGTCGTGTCCATGGAGCGATGGTAAACGGGATGTAGCCCGCGGTGAGTCCGTGCCACCGGATGTCTGCAAGCTCCCCAGGCCTTCAGGAAGTGTGAGCAGCCGCGGCACGGGAGCCGAATCGCCGACGGTGACAACACGCCCCCCAAGCACGTTCATTACGTCGACCGTTCCCTTCCCACGCATATCGGCGACGCCCTCGCCCACCGTCAGCATCTGCTTGTCGTCAGCCGCCTACACATCATGCCACTTTGTTGGTGGCGGTCACAGCCCCGTCTGTCAAGACGTCCCGACGTGTGTCCGCTGGGCGCCCAAGAACACTCCGCCACCCGGCACGCGATGCGAGAGGGACTCTGAGTGCGACAAGTACGAATGTGTGCAGGGCTCGAAACCGGGCTGCTGGGTCAACGCCATGGGCGGCGTCAAGTATGGAATGTGTCAGTGCCTGCCCAATGAGACGATTCAACCGACGACGGAGACGCCGTCGCCAACGACAAGCGTGGTTCATGTCCCTACTGGAACGCCACCGCCGGCGCAGGCAAACTGCAACACGACGTCGGATTGCACTGCTTGGACCTGTGCCGATGGATTGAAGCCAGTTTGCGACACACAGGCCTCTGGAGATCCTTTCAGCAAGACCTGCCGCTGCGGGTGAGGCATCCACTGGGCATCGGTCAGAACAGTGGTGGATCGAAGGCGTATCTAGAGCATTGCCACGCTGCTGGGCAAGCACACCACGTTGGACGAGACCTGTGTGGGCCACATGTATGTATGTGGTAAATGTACCTGGCTAACCTCAGCGGCCAATATGAAGTAGCTTTCCCGTTTGTCGTATTGAACACCCTCATGGACTGATTGGCCCCCAACTTGTTGGTTTCATGGTGCTGCTGCACTGTCGCATGGGCCCGCTGTAGCTACGCCCAGTCTCGGGTATCATCCGGTGCTGCTCACGTCATTCGCTTGATGATTTTACGCACTTGCGGTCCACGCACGCCCAGCCCAGCCCCCAACCGACACCTGGAGCGCTCGCCGTCGCGGCATCGTGTCGCATGGACGCATTCTTGAAGACTCCTGCTACACTATCCTCCCCATTTGCCAGCTACGTATACATTGCGCGCAAGATGAGCCTCGCGGGATCACAAGACTTCCGTGCCGAGCAGCAGCTACCGCCTCTGCCCCGTATCGAGGCAGTTGTCTTGGGAGCCGCAGGCGTAGGAATGCTGAGCCTCATGGACCGGGTGAGTGAGCCCCGCTTGCGCCAACTGGCAATACTGTAATCTATTAACCACCAGCGCCGGCAGCTCTGCAACAATCGCCCTCCCGAGTATGAACATCCGATCGAAGAATACTCGCGAGAAGCCAGCCTACGGTACCGCGGGCATCACGTAACGCTAGAGCTCTTCCGGAGACATTATGGTCCGGACATCGACCCAGGACTCCGCGCATTAATCGAACAGGATTTGCGTAAGAGCGAAGCTTGCGTGTTAGTATACGACATAGCGGATCGGGATAGCTTATCCTGCATTGAAGCTTTATATCAACTACTATATGAAGTAAGGCTACGCCCGCTAGATGGGCAAGCCAAGCCGGTGTCCGCGCCCCGGTCTTTTACGCGTGTTGCCGCTGCTCTAAGGTCTACAGGCAGGTTATTTCGACGTCGCAGCGGGAAGCAAGACTCGACACCACAATGTCAGCCGCCGTTTCCCTTAGTTGTTATAGCGAACAAGACGGACAAGCCGCAAAAAACATGGGCTATCTCAATAGAGGAGGGAGTACAGGTAACCCGGCGCATGGGTGGCGTTTTCTTTGCCGTTTCGGCACTACGAGGAACAGGATGCGATAAGGGCATACTTAAGGAAATCGTTACGAGTGTCATCCAGCGGCGGGAACTAATATAAGTAAAACTCTCGATTATAAGTACTTAGCCGCCTAAGTATAGCGGCGAATAGATATTCGCGTAGCATAACGGCGTCTTCGGCTCGGTCCCGGCGGACGTTATTAAGCTCGACCGGCCGCCGTTATCTAAGATTAAGATAGGCAGGACGAGCTACATTAAGGCAAGGGTAAAGTAGAAGTTCGCCCCTAAGGATAAGGAGAAGGGAGACTGGCTCGAGTTTAATAAGAACGAAGTCATAACTAACGTTAGCTATAAGTGCCGCTGATCAACTGACAGACTGGTCTCGGAGCAACTGCTTACTTGGCTCATTATTAGGGTCGCATCCTGACCACTGGTGTTGGTCCGGCACAAACGCCAAGGGCAAATGGGGCATCTTTCCCCAGGCCTTTATCGATCCCAACACGGTACAGGAGCAGGCGTCGCCGGCCGCAGATCACCATTCCGACCGCACAAGCCTGCTGTCGCATGAGCGGCCGAGGACGGCCGGCATACTGTCCAAGTTTTCGACCCGCCGGCCGTCGAGCTGAGTGAGCGTGGGGGAATACTTATTTCACGACTTATCGCGGAAGACTTGGCGACTAGCTGTGCTAGGAGTTTAGCGACGCGAGGCAAGGCGAGGCAAGGCGAGGCGAGGCGAGGACTCTGCGTGAAACGCATGACCTGGGGCGCGATGAGCGACATCCGGGCACGAATGACGGTACTTGGCGTTTAGAGGGCGGGCAGGCGGGCTCGAACCACGACACGACATCGACTGATACCCCATTGTAACTACCTACCTACATTTTACATGCTCAAACCATTTCAAAATCAAGATGCGTATTCGCGAACCCTCTAGTGAGACTCACTCCTCGTTCCTCGGTGCTATTCGGCGGATAATAGTACACGGTAATGTCTCCTCCCGCGTCGACTCTGCGGCGGGGAAAGGAAGAATAAGCTCGAAATGAGAAGGGCGCGTCACCTTCTTGATCAGCTCCCAAAGAGTGTATTCGCGTTCTGTATATTCCTCGGCCTCGCGGGGGTAAAACATCTTAATCTCCACTTCCACTCTCAGCCACTCGAGGCCTTCCATGGCCGCCAGGGCCTCCCATATAGCTACCCATAGCACCTCGTTCTTACCATTTTTAAGTCCCTCAAAGTAGAGAGGGTGACTGAGTATCCAGGAAAGGTTGACCCGGGAAATGCTAGCGAGGTGAGCCGCCGGAAGACGTTTGGACAAATTCGCAAGGGCTCCCTTTGCACACGTGAAGTCGAACAAGGTCTCTCGGTAAAGAACGTCTATGCATTCAAAGTAGCTACATGTAATAGCATATGTCAGTAGAGGACGTAAATAGACGACGGCACAGGAGATTTACGTCTTTTTGCACGCTAATACAAGCGACATGTGATCGCAAGGGATCTCTGTCTCAGGCTTGCAGCATAGAACGCGGTGAAGATCCCATTCATGTTGGAAGTCTGGGTCCCACGTCAAGCATTCTTTGCCGCGGAGCCTCTTGGACGAGTAAAATTTCAACAGCTGTTTGCCGCCACGCATCCTTGTTTGCGGTGAAGGCAGGAAGAGATGCACCGCATGCCCGCGGAAGTACGTGTCCCAGATCATCTGACGCAACTCCGGGGGCAGCTGACGGAAGAGAGGCGACGTATCCTGCTCTTTTGCCCTGCGAGGCGAGATGGGCTTGGGTGGAAGAAAAGGCACCAACTTGCGCGCGTTCAACCAGAGCCCGTAGGAGCTGATGGACGACATGTTAGCCGCGGTTGAGGAGGATGAAGATGCTGTCTGTCTTAGGGCGGGCGGGGGCGGCTAGGCTGCTTACCATCCCACTTTAGGTGTAACAGCCGGCTGGACCTAGAGCCTTGACGGCTACGTAGCACGCACGTAACGGCCGGCCCGCCGGGGCATACCTCCGGCGGGTCGCTAGCGAAACGCTACGTAGACCTTTAAGCTTTAGTCTCTAACTTATAGTAATAATAGTAATAGCCGCTAGACTATATAGCTATTACCTCTCTTACCTAATTAATCTATAAGACCTATTATTATTATAATTCTTAAAGCTTCTATTATAATTACTTAAGAGTAATAATAACGCTATTAAGATTACGTTAAGGTATTAATATACTATTAAGAAATAACCCTTTTAAAGAGTTAATAAGTAGCTTAACTTAAATCTTAAGTATACCTTTAGTTAATTAAGATCTTACTTTAAGGGATATCCTTATTAAAGAATAAGCTTAAGTAATCTAAACTTATATTAAATAACTTAAAGAGCTTTACGCTCTTTAAGTAAGAGAAAAGGAATTATATAAGTCTCTAACTTAAGTAAGCTATATTAATACTATATTATAGAAATAAAAATAAAATACTTTTAATTTATTAAATAATAATAATAAAAGTAATAAAGTAAAGGTTATAAACTTCTTAGAGTTAAGGTATTTAACTAACTTATAGTAATAATAAGATTAGCTATAAGATATTAAATAAATATTAATAGAGGTATTATATAAATTCTATAAAAATAAAAAGAAAATTATCTTTACTTTTAATTATATATATTATAAAAGAAAGGTAAAATAAGATTAGTATTTTAATAAATAATTAATAATTTAATAAAAATAAATTAAAGTTAATTAATTTAACTTTAAAGAGTAGATTTATATATTCCTTTAAGACTTTATTAACTATAAAGTAATCCTTATAGCTTAAAGATAAAATATAATATAATAAGAAAACTAGTTTTTTATAGACTTTAATATTTACTTAAATTCTATAAAGAAATACTTTAAATATATTAATAAGATAGACTATACTTTTACTTTCTTTAAGAAATTATAGCTTAAGTTATAATATTAAATTAACTTATAGATATTTATTAAGAATAAGATATATAAATTAATTATTTAAATTATATAATAAGTCTAAGACTTAATAGACTATAAGCTTAAAAAGAAAGATATAAACTTATAAAAAAATAAGTAATTTATTAAATAAAGATATAATAATAAAGGATTAAATAATTAATAAAGTAATAAATTATTTACTTTAATTATAAAAATAAATATTACTTTAATATCTTTATTAATAAAGGATAAATTATATTACTTTAATTATAAAGAGAAAAGATACTTTTAAAGGGCTTATTTATAATTATATAAAGAAAGAAATAGCTTTAAGTTATTAAAAAACTCTTAGAAATTAAAGTAAATATTTATACCTTAATAATTATACCTTAAATAAAGGTAATAAGATATTTAATTATATTAATAATAATATAATCTTAATATAAAGTCTTAATTAATATAAGCTTTAATATATATTTAAAAGTAAATTTAATTAATATTACTTTTATATAAAAATAATAAGTATAATAGCTCTTAAGTAAAGCTTATAAGCTAAAAGCGCTAAAAAGATTATATATTTTTTAATATAGTATTTAAGAAGTCTTATTAATTATAATAAATAATAAAAAGTAAATATATAAAATAACTTATTAATATATCGCTATTAATAAAGACTTATAATTAAATAAATACCTTATTTTATTAAATATATTTATATTAATAAAGTATTAAATTTACTTAACCCTTATCGATTAATAATAGTAATTTAAATATTAATAGATTAATATAAAAGTCTTAAAGATATAAAAGTTCCTTTAAGTATATTATAATTTAGCGTAAATATATATAATAATATAAAATAAAGACTTTATACCTTTATTATTAAAGGATAATAACGAAAATATAATAAATCTAAAGTAATTTATTATTAACTTATTTAAGGAAATTATATATATAAAAGATATATTTAATATTATTAATATAGGTATATTATTATAATATAAAGAGATAGATTATATAATTAATCTCTTCTTAAATACTATCTTATTATATAGACTATTATATCCTTTATTATAAACTAAATTAAAAGAATTATAATAATACCTTAATAATAACTTAATAAAAGGCTAGATATATTATTTAAAAAGCTTAATTAATATACTTATCTTCTTTATATTTAAGAAAGATAATACTTTCTAACTATATATAAATTATTATAGCCTTAATTATATATTAATAAAGAATTATTATATACTTCCTTTTATATTAAAAATTATAGACTATTATAAAAGAGCTTAATACTTTATAAAAATTAATATTAAAGATATTTATTATAAGATTTATATCTATAAAGGTAATAAATAAAAGACTATATTCTATATTTATTATAGTTACTTTAAATATTTAATTATACCCTTTAAATTAATAAATACCTTTATTATATTTTAGAATTATATTTATTTAATATTATAAGGATTAATAAATATAGTTTATATTATATACTTAAATAATATTCTTATTTTCTAAAAGATAAAAAAAGAATATATTAAATATATTCTATAAGTCTTAAAGTATATATATAATATAAAGCTATATACTAACCTTATAAAGTATATATTTTATTAAAGTTTTATTAAGTTCTTTAAGTTTATTTTATTAAATATTAATATTTTAATAAATCCTTATTAAATATAAATAATTATAAATTAATAAGAGCTATAAATATTCTAAGAGATATAAGTTTTCCTTAACTTTTATAATTTCTATTATAGGTTTATTTATTAATACTTAAAGATTATTACCCTTTTTATAGCCCTTTTAAAAGGTAATTAAAATAATAAGAAATTAAAAAATATAAAATTAAATATTAATAAAAAGGTAATATTTAAAGAGCTTAAATTAGCCTTTTAAAAAATACCTTTATTATAATATTTTAATCTTTTATAGTTAATATATATAGAGATAGATATATTAAACTATATAATAGCTAAGATCTTATTTTAATTAAATAGATCTAAGAAGTTTAAACTATAAGAGATTAACTATAATACTTTAAATAAGGAAATATTTACTATTATAAAATTATTTAAATATTAGCGATATTATATTAAAAGAGTAATAAGTCTTATAGAAGTCTTATTAAATTATTATAACCTCTAGATATTTATAAACTAAATAAAGTTAAATAAGAAATAAATATAATAATATATAATATTAATACCTTTTAACTTTATTATTAAATATAAGCCTAGAAAAAGTAACCTTATAGATAAGCTATCTAAAAGACTTAATTATAAAAGTAAAACGCTAATAAATACTTATTTATTATTTAATCTATAAAGATAATTAATATTAATTAAAGAAATAACTATAAATATAATATATTATAAAGGATTAAGTAAGATACTTAATTAAAGATAATATTCCCTTATCTTAAATAAAGGCTAATAAACTTAAGTTAAGACTATATTAAAAGTATTAAGATTAAGCTATTAAATAAAGAAGAGTATTAAATAAGACTCTTTATTACCTTAAATTAGAATTAAGTATATAATAATAAAAGAAATAATCTATAAAGAGCTAATAATAGATTTAAGGTAGTTAATTAAATATACTTAAAATTAAAATAAAGAAACTTATTAGCGAATTACTTTTATAACTTAAGGGTAAAAGGATATTAAAGATAGGATTTAATAAATAAGCTTAGATAATTTATTATATTATAATAAATATATTTATATATTAATAAAAGAGATTATTAAATAAGAACTCCTTAAAGTCTATTATAATAACCCTTTAATTAATTACTTTAAGGTATAATATATAATAAAGTTACTTTATAGAGTATTTTAGTAATTAAGGCTATTATAAGATATTAAATAATATATAAGGTTATATATAGTTTATTAAAGGGCTATATTAAAAAGATATTACTTTTATAATAAGCTTAAGTTACTATTAATTCCTTAATAACTTTAAGTAAAAGTTATTATAAACTTTATTATAAATATATTAAAGGTAAAATAAAATAATTAAAATTATAATATTATTTTTATAGTTATAAATTAATATATAAAATATTCTTTATTCTTTCTTTATTATATAAATATTAATATTACTTAATTTATAGAATTCTTTTATAATAAAATTAAACTTCGATTTAAAATATTAAATAATATTATTTTTAATTAAAGACTTATCTTTATAAGCGAGTTTTAATTATAGCTTTATTAAATCTTAAAGATTAAATAATACTTATTAATAGTATTTTACCTTTAAATTAATAAATAAATAAAATAAATAAATTAAACCCTTAAGTATTACTTTTATTACTTTATTATAGTAAATTAAGCTAATTAAATATAGCTATTTAAATAAGCTTAATTTACTTATAATAATACTATTAATATAATAATAAGACTTTTATTAAATTAAGTATTTATAAGTTATAAACTAGCGATTTATTTCTACCTTAAGGATATAGTATTAAAAATGGAGATATTTAATGCTTAAGCTAGACTCTAAAAGCTAGTTATATTATATAAATAATTATAAGATTACTAACGATAAATAAACGAATTATAAATAAAATATTATAATAAAAGGCATTAAGAATTATCCCTTAAAGTTAATAACTTTATTAAATTCTTAATATAAAACTTATAGCTTAAAGGTAAGAAAAAAAAGCTTTTACTTAAATATATTAACTTATTTTATATTCTTTAGCGAATTAATTTATAGGTATATTATTTAACGCTCTTTAAGAAATATATATATATCTATAATATATTTTATATTAGCTTATTAAAGCTATAAGTTATAAGATTTAAGGAATAAAACGCTAATAAAATTATATTAATATTTAATCTAAAGGATAATAATAAATAAGAAATAAAGGAAATTAAAGAA